TTTTTTTTTAATATTATTATATTTGGATCAATGTTTGTATTGACAATTTTTTAAAACATATAACTCATTTTAAATTATTATTTTCATTATAATTATTATCGATGTTTCATAATATAATATTATCTTAAAAATTATAATCCAGTGAATTTCTGTTGTATTTATGACAAATTAGACAATTTTGTATTTTCGGACTTTTTGTCCGGCAATCAAAAGATAAATCCGGACTGTTTGTCATCTCATCTATTTCCATACCGGACTTTTTGACCGATTACCGTACGTGAATTCGCCTGGCGCGGGATGTAACATTGTTTGATAACACAACAACATCGAATAATTCGTAATTTTTCACGAAACTACAAAAAAAAAATTATAAATCAGGAATGAAAATAAAATTTTGAAACGTCAATATTTTCAGAAAAATAAACTACAAAATAGCTATAGTGAATTTTTTTGGAAATAATTAAATGAAAAATATATTTTTTAATTTTTTTACCAAATCATTAAAATAAACTGAAATATGAAATAATTATTCTTACACAGTTACACCTGTGAATATTTTAACAAAATCAGAATTTCGATATCTCCATTATTTCGGGAGATATCGCAATAGTAAATCCTCACGAGACACTATATAATTAATTATATATTATATAATAATTATTATTATTTATTACTAAATTTATCATGTAATATTTAATATTAACGAATTCGAGCACGTGAAAAATTAAAAAATTTGAAACTTGACTCAAAAAAGGTTCACCACCTCTGTTATGAATTCTAAGTAAGTAGGTAGGTATCTAATAACATATTCAGTATAATAGTAATAGTATATAAATTGCCCACACAATTTAATTAGATTTTGGGTGGTACGTAATAGCAATATAGCATTGATTAGGTATACATTTTACTTTTTACTGCAGGGGCGGATTGGYCTATCGGTAAATCGGGATTCTTCCCGAWGGGCCGGTTCTTGTGAGGGCCGCTATAATTATTATAATATAATTACAAAAGAAAATTATATTTTTATAAATTAAGCATAAAATATATCAAAAAATCAAATACCTTTGTAGGTATTATTTTTAATATCTTAAACTTTAAACTATTACAATTCATACTAAGAATTTTGGTATTTACGCAATTTTTCTTTATTAAATGGGTTAGCTGCATTTTTCGAGTCATATCAATGTATGGCTGTTTGGTCAAAAGCTAAAAGGTCTGTATGTCTGATGTAAAACATAAGAAACTAGGTGGTTGGCGAATGAAGAAGCTTTGAAAAAAATCTTTGGTGATTTGAAATCTACAGATTATTTGTACATTGAGTTATTAGTTTCACTTTAAGAAATAGAAACTTCTGAACATTTTTCGGTAGAAATAAGATCCAAAAATAACAACTTTAAGGAATCAATTTTAAAATATTACACATTGCTTAAAGCTAGCCTTTAAGTGCCTAAAAATKTACATAATTATTTCCCCATTGTCGAAATATCTGTATAGACAAATGGAATGGACTTGAATAAATCTAAACAATTGGTTATTATATAGCTCATAARGAATTACAACATTTACAAAGAGATGTTTAAGTGTGGAAAGCAGGTGGATGCATTTATTTTAAATGCTAATAATCAGTTCGGATTAGATTGCACTAAAAAAAATTAAATATGATTTTAGTGTGACCTTACTACGTCACGTTTAAAACGGGATTGTCCCATTTTTGATCATCATGTCCTGTTGTCCCGACAAAACATCGAACGGGACGCTTTTTGTCCAGTTTTTAGAAGATGATCCCATAACCCGTTATCTCTATGTATTATTATGAATAAAAAAAAATTTATCAAATAAATAAATAAAAACAATAACAATATAATATATAACTGTAGTTTAAAATTTGAAGCTTGAAAGTTATTAAGTATAACTGTTTTCGTGGAACGCGTATTAATTGCGATGAATTGTAATTTAAAAAAATGATGACTAATCAACATCAATCCAAAAAGAGTAAGAACACTTTTTTAAGCTCACAACAAAACTAATCCAAACAAGACGTGTTTTATTAAAATATTAAGCTTATTCAACACTGTTTGAATTGGTTTTTTTCTTAAAGTGTATCGACCTAAAACAACAGTTTGTCCCGTTTTTTTTAATATAAAAATTGTCACCCTAGATTTTAGAATAGACTACCTATTCTACAATCAATGRTACCTAATAGATATGTCAGTCTTAATATCAGTGTTTATCGTATATGGTGAATACTAAAATCCAGTAGCTGGTAGAGGTTCTATCTTACGCACCTATGTTCAAATTTTGTAATGTTATGTTGAAACTTTTGGTGATTAATGATGGTAGGTGATGGGTAACCAGCTATTATTCTCTTGCAGTCTCTTATTTTGTCTGGATTAGGGTTATTACAATACACGGTTATACCATATCTATTACCTATGGATATGCGTAATAAGTATAATATTATACCCATCTAACAATTTTATTATAATTAAATATATTATGCAATATAGGTACCATCACTATGATAATAACTAAAAGCATATTATACAATAGTCAAATGTATATTGCTATATTACTAAGTCAATTCAAACTTCAAAGGCGTAAATAGTGTTTGAAATTTAATTAAAAAAAAAAAAAAAAACTGTACCTATTTATAAACTTTGTGTTAATATTTTGTAATAATACATTCTAAATGAATGATTAAAATAAAACAACATTAACATATTATATTTTTACAAATTAACAGAATTGATTTAGTTGATTTTAAAAAGATTGTACCAGCACAATTCACGTTTTACACCTTCAAATATTGAGTTAATATCATTTAAAAAAAAATAATATTTCATATAGAATTTATTTTTCATTAGTTAATGAACAAAATCCAAATAATGCCAATATCAACATAATTATTTAGTATTTTATGTTTTATTTTTATTAATTCTCAGTATCAACTTAGAATGACAATAAAAGGTGTGATATACAATCTACGAGCATTTTTAGTTTTTTTTTTAATGATTATGATMATTTTCATATTATAGTTTAATAAGAAAATCTGATGATTTAATCATACACATAAATCAAAATAATAAATTGATTATTTTGATACTTGCTACTTATTGGTACCGAACAAGATGGTGTTATTTAGGTAGAAATTCAATATTTACAACTCCTACAGCCTGTCAGTTATTATCAACACAAATGAATATATCATATTATAATATTATATAGGTATTAATATTGATTATAGAATAAATTTATTAAGTTAATATCTATTTATTAATAAGTTTATTCTATAATCAACAGTATTAGTTTATTACCTACCAATTAATTAAACATCATATAGTTTTTAGTYAATTACCAAAAAATCATATTATTCGTTAATTAATTGCATATCTTTAAAAACTACTTAGTACTACTAGTATCAAAAATAGGCTTAACATTGAATTATTATGTTATAAATGACACTACAAAATGGGCTCATTCATTTGTTATTAATTATTATTATAAGAATTTATTTACTGTGTACAGGCAAATGACATAACTATATAGTTTTAAAATATGAATATCCAAATAAAAACATATTTAGGTCCATATGCAATTTTAAATTGAAAAATATATGTAATATTTACCATACTGAATAATGAGATAAAAAAAATATGCACTAGTATTCAAAAACAAAAACTGTTGGTTAGTCCTGGGAACTAATAAAAATTTCAACTCCCTTTTCCACTACCCAGCAAATTTATTGTTATTCTTAAAAAAAACCAATCCATTTTGTTCTATAATTTATGGATTATTTTAGCAATGTTATTTAATAGTAGTAAAATATCTTTTTTTTTTAATAACAAAATTCCAATTTTGAATAGCAAAAAAAAATACAAGTCATAATCGACATAGTATCACAAACCAAAAAGAAAATATCACAATACATATTTTCAAAATGTTTACAATTCTATGTTAATAATTGCTGACATAGACATTTTTGCTGCCTAAAAATATACCAATATACTTCCAATAAATAAGTGAAAAACAATCTGAATTTATCATTATTCATTACCATAATTATTAAAAACTAAACGATTTGAAAAATAAAGCAAATAAAAAATGTGATTTTTTTATCTTCTTAATAATATGTATATACGAAAAAATTAAAACAATATGACAAATCATATAGAAATTATATGTTCAAACTTTTTATGCATTAAAATATAACAACAAAATATACAATATTAAATTGTTCTCGTGTTGTACTGTTATTTGTTTTAAAGATTAATGAGTGAAAAAAAATTATAATACTGGTAAATAAATGTAAAACCATGGCAACAATCCTATTAAATATGAAATAATAGGCTATAACTTTTACAGAATAGTTTATATTCTAATCATTAATATATAAATAAATATTATAACATAAAAAATTAAAAAAAAAAAACATTGTTCCTAAGTCCATTTTATTTTATTCAATGGCAACATTGGAAGACTTAAAAAAAGACATATAAATAAAAATTAACAGATGAACACGAAAATAAAAAATAAATTTTTAATAAAGTTATCAGAATTAAAACTTTATTTTCTTTGTACTATAAAAATAATAAAATAGGCGAGTGTATGCCTAATTATGGAGTTTTTAAAATCCAGACTATAATAATTGTTATAATCTATATAAATTTTTAACTTAAAAAAAAAAAACATTAACTTGCAGTTATTATATACATATATAGATATACATATACATATAAAAATACGTTTATGTTGTTCGTCTTCTGTTTGTGGCACTCCCAATATCTTACAGATACGTTGACTCGCCTAGAACCACCGGAAACACAATCACATTTGCATCTACGCCATCAGGTGTATTGTGCTCAAGCGACAGGTTTACGAAAGCCTAAGGGAGAGAATAAAGCGGCCTTCACCAATCATTATTCTAAAAAAAATACTACACAACAATAAACAGGGATGATAGCGTTTCACTAAAACGTCCAAACAAGAGTAAAAAAATTAATCAAATCAGATTTGATTTTTAWATAAAGAATATTTTCATTTTAAACGTTAAGTATTTACAAGGGAAAATAATAGTTACAAAATGATACACAAGCAACAATTTGTTCGTGTGTATACCATACTAATATTTTCCTGAGAGAGGGAGTTAAAGCGATAGCCTAGTTGAGAAATATTTTAAAAGAATAATAAAATTATTATTTTACTAATCCTTTTTTTTTTTGTTATTATTGCGCTAATTAKGTTTTGAATAAATCACTGACCAGATTCCCATCCATCTTCTTCTTCTTCAGCTGTTGTGCAACTACTGGATTCACTTTCTGATAGCGTTTCACCAACAACTGGTTCGGAAACATCAGTACGTTCAAATAATAAACTTACATGGAAGTCAGCACTAAAAAGTTTATTTTGTTTATCTTTATGGCCGTCCAAATCCCATTTGTTCATGTTTAATGTCAACAGGCGATTATCACTTCCACCCACATGACCATTTGAGTTTGTACTATTACATAAATATTTGAAATTATAAAACATTTACATATTACATTTATATACATTTTTTTCATAATACTTTTAAGTACTAAACAATTCATGTTACTAAAAAGTATATTGAAAATTCAAAAAAAATAAATATCATGTTCAAATACTTAACTCTATTCTAAATTTATAAATTATAAATATTAAATACAYGTCATACTGAGAAAAAAATTATATGCTTACCGCATTTGATTATTTGGAAATCGAAAGTTATTTGAGTCATTCATACTATTTGTATGAACTGTTTTTTCCTGCTGGCCACAATGTTTATTTTCTCTATTACTATTTTCAGTAACAGCTGGTTCACAAACGAAAAATGTATTAAACCAGAAATGAAATAGTTTTTCCTGAAACAATAAAATTTAATGCACAACATATAAACTATTAAAAAATAAAAATATGAATTAAGACTAAAATTTATTGATTGGTTGACCTTTTTTTAATACCATTATTTTTGTTAAATTAGAAAATATAAAAATTCAAATGTTTTCTTATCCTATGTATAATTATTATAATTATTATAAATTTTAGTCATTTGTATGATAGAAAACATTCCATATYGATAGATCATGATAGCCTTGTTTAGCTTGAAATTTGTATACCATATATTATGAAATAATTAAACAAGTTATATTTGAATTTAATTAACAACAAAAAATATGATAATTTATAATATTTATATTATAAAGTAAGAGATGTTTTAAAATAATATTTCAGAAAATTAAAATATTATCTTAACATAATATACTGATAAATTGACACAGTTTTATAACTTATCTAAACAGTATTTAATGTTTTCGATTGCCTACAAAATGTAATGATAATGCTTACATCTCTATCACATACTACCTATATGATACAAAAATTAAMAAATATATTCAGATAATTTTTATTTTGAGTCAATATTAGACAAAATTTTTACTTTAAATTCATACCTTTTTCTTCATTTTATGTTTATTGTAACACTCTACTTTTACATCTCCAAGGACTTGGGTCATTTGCGTTAAACGAATTGTTACATCAGAAGCATTACGCCGCATATCCTGCACATCAGATGAATAAACTTTTCTGATTTTTGAACTATCACCATTGATCCATTCTGATATCACTAAACGAATACCTAAAAATTGAATTTAAATTTAATGTTATATATTAACAAAATTAATTAATATTTATGAATCATACCAACAAAAAATACATACATGTTTGCCCCGAATTAAAAATATTAGGCACTGGATCTAATTTTATTTCCTTTACAGTCAATACAACAGGCTTGTAATTTAAATTTTTTTCAACTAACAATGCATAATAGTTGACATATCTCCTTTGACTGGGAATAGTGACACCCTAGAAAAAAGAAAACAATGTTGATGCATATACATTTAAAAATTAAATAATTTGAATGAATCTTTTATTGATTGCCAAAAAACTAATTTGAATCACACAAATTAAAATTCACTGAAGAACACAATGTTTTAAGAGAATGCAACACAACCATTTGTTGTCTCCGCCTTACAAGAGCATAACGGGGACAGAGTTGTCAAGTGCTCTAAGGCGTCAGCTGAGACGCGCACTGTCGCCGATTTGAAACTCCGTCACAAGCAACACCTCTCTTCGGGCAGTCAGTGTCTGAAGAGAGACCACCATCTCCCAACCAGGCATGGCAGAAATCCAATAACAAATTGATTCTCCCAAATAGATGTCTGAACTAGGCTTTCAGGTCTACACCTGGACATGGTGCCATAAACAAAACAAAAAAGAAAAGCATAACATACCAAATTTACGCTCAGCAGATCACTTTTAGCTTTGTTAGTTTAAAAATTAGAAGGAATCAACCTATTATGAAACTTGATGTTGAGAACAGTATCTGTATTTGTATGTGGGGTTTTTACAATACTTCAATTTTGTAGAAATCTATGCGTATATAAAAAAGCATAAATTAAAAATGATCATAACTCACTTAAAAACTAAGTAATCGTAAAAAATTCACAAACAGATTCTTACCATCAAGTTTCATAATAGGTCGATCCACTTTAATTTTTAAACTAACGGAGCTAAAAGTGGTCTGCTGATCGTAACCTTGTTATGTTACCCACTTGTAAGACGGAGTTAACAAACATGTGTGTCGCGATGTCTTAAATGAACTTTTTTATTGTTCTCAAATTCTAATAAACTTTATTAGTGGTTGAAATCAGAAATTAAAAATATTTATGAACATATGAATAACTCTAATTATATTTATAAAGTATTYGAATTGTTTTACTCAACAATCGTACTTTATATATATAAATYCTATATAATTTTCAAGTTAAATGTATAAAAAGTATTTSTGTCAAACCTTTTTATCAAATGTTCTCTTTTGTCCATAATAATTAAGAGCTTCTTCTGCTGATAAACACTGTAGACTATGTATTAGATAACAACATATCATTACACCAGTTCGGCCCTTAAAATTAAAACAAGATTTATTAACAAATCAAAAAAATAACACAAGTGARTGAGCGGTGAGCCTAMCATTTWCTCTAAAAAAATTAAATTAATTTCATAAGTATAGGGGCCAGTGAAATTATAAATAAAAATGATATATATTATATAATATAATATTATTACTAAACAATAAAGGTGTAACAATTGTCACTATAACAATTATTGTGTTCCATTTTTTGATTTTTTTTCCACCCACACCTCAAGAAATTTTACTTCAAAAATCAATAATAAATAAATAAATACAGTATTTAAATTTGTACCTTTCCAGCTTTACAATGTACAGCAGCTACATTTCTGCTGTCTTCAGCGAGCCATTGATGGACATCTTCACAAAAAGGTTTGATCACTTCAATGCTTGGTGGGTTATGATCTTGAAATGGGTAGGTAGCCACACGCTGGTGGAACTTCCGAGAATCATAAGATCGTTCTGAACAACTAAAAATATAATATTGAATAAATATTAAAATATTATATTTTTAATAAATTAATACTTACAGATTATATATTTTATAATGATTAGGATGTTTCTGATCAAGCAGTCTGCTTACATCATCTATATGATTTCGGTAGACTACACCTTCTAAATTTTCTGCAGGAAATCCCATTGCTATCACATTGTGTTGAATGTCTAATCAAATTAATTAAGGAAAACATTGACTAAAACCATAAAGAAAGAAAATATATATTTMTACCCAACATTGTTGATTTGATTTGATGTTAACAAAAAGAATCTTTCGGAATAGTTGTTCAATTATAGTATGATAAATTACAAGAGATAACAAAATTGTTATCATGTAACATACATCTTTTGTACTGGAGACTAAATTTTAATTAGATATATATCTATAACATAATAATTTTAGATTTTATAAAGCAAATAGAATAGTAAAAATAATATTATGTACCTATTGGAGAATACTTATTTGGAAATATATCAGTACTACTACACTACACTGCTCATCATCAGTCATAACTTCAAATACTTAGTAGGATTATAACTAATTTACTACATCAAAAATCATTGGAAAATATTCATGTTTGGAATAAAAAATAGCAAAACATTATTTTCTTCAAAAATKCTGTTTTTTAGTTATATCAGAATAAGTGAAAATTTTTTTTTTCAAAATAGGTAAGCTAATAATTTTAAACCTAGATAATGAGTTTTTACAGTTAAGTCTTGCATAACATTAATATTATTTTAATTGTTTTGATGCAGTAGATTAAATTTATAAAATWACACAGTCTAGCTACAATATATATTAGAAATTGATTAAATTATATGAATAAACTAATAGAACTGATTGAATAAGCATTTTAAAATATTGTATATAGTATAGTTTAATTTGAGCATAGATATGTTCTGAATAAAATATTTAAAAAATTATATTATGTTATTTGGTTAATTTATTCAAATATTTTAAAATAAATGCTTATTCATAAAAATATAATTTGGTAATACAGATGTTAATATTAAAAATTGTTAACTACCCTATATATTTCAACAAAAGTTTCAATTTTCATAAAAAAACATTGTTATTTTGACACACCTAAGCCTTTTTGTACAAAAAGAAGCAATATTATTCTAACAAGTATATGTCTCCAATGAAAGTGCATCTAATTTCCAAATAATTATTGATAATCAATTAAAAATTCAAAGGATACAAGTCAAATCGAGGTTGAACCCATCTTCAGTATAACGTTTTCTTTGTTTACTGACCAGTTTTTTAATTGGATTAGTCATTTTGATGTTAGGAATGGCCATTCTGGTGCGGATTGACGAGCTATGCACCAGACCAGTAGATTGTTCGTCCATGGCCCTGCTGTTTGTGATTAGTTATGTGCATTGTATTTACTAGACTGTGAACAAACAACAGAGTATTGAATATATAAATATTCGATAAAAATCGGCAACACATTCCAAATTATGATGTACAATTTAAACAGCATTACCTTATAGTCAAGTCCAGAATAAGTATGTAGGTAGTTTATAAATCAACAACACATTTTAAGTGATCAATAAGATGAACATTATGTCTATTTGTGTAATGAATAAGGGTGATAATTTACGACTGGACACTCCAGAGATGAAAAGGGACAACGCAACAGAAGAGGGGAAAAAGAAAATGAAATGAAAAATAAAAACTTATAACATTTTTAACATTAAAAAAAAAGAAACAAAGAACTGGAAAGCTTACACCGTAACAGTCTGGTCAATTGTAAGATACATAATAATTACATATACCGCACAATGTTACCAACAGAAACCATGGAGACTAAAACAATTGCYGCAGTCTATAAAATATTATTATTATTTATTATTTTTTATTTATTGAAGAATTTAGTTCAGTAGTTCAGTTCATCAGTTCAGATAATATTGTCATCGGAGACGGTCACCAAAAATTGGAAATTAAAAATAATTAGTTTAATAATTAGTAAATAGTTAATAATGCAATTGCATATTATGCTATAATATTGGTTATTACACGTTTTTATAGCCTTCRTGCCACTACTGGAAATCAAAATAATCAATTATTTTATTTTTATTTGTGATTTTGATAGTGTGGGAGACATTCACTACCTACTCACAATACAAWATAGTAGAATAATACTACAATGCACTATACTGTAATTTAATGATATATACATGAGAATACGAATAGTAAGACGAKGGCCACAATACTCACAATGATATCTTTATTTTTTGCATCGTGCATGATAATTATTTAGAATACTAAACATGAATATGATGAGACTGCTTTATGTATGTACAAAGACAACTCCACAGCAAAATCTTACGCAGAAGCAGTACCGGATCTACAAATTATGCAACCCGGGGCACTACATAATATTAGCGCCCCTAAAAGTCACCAAATCATAAAAATGATGAGTTTAAAATTTRAAATTTGCGCCCCTCTATGATAAGCGCCCGGGGCATGGGCCCCGGATCGCCACCCCCTAGATCCGGTACTGCGTAGAAGCCACCAAACAACAACAAAACACCCATACAGAAAAATTCACCGACACCTGTTCCATGTTTATATCTAATTTAAGCTCATTAATCAATCCTCTTATCTCCCTACTCTCCACAGTACTAAATACTCTCATTGCCAAAGGCAATATTTCCCTATAATTACATTTGTCCGGATTCCTGATTAAACCTATACATTAAATCACATATATSATAGTTAGATAAGCTAATAKTTATATAAATATATTAAATACCAGAATATTATTGTAATCTTAAAATCACTATTGTTAACATTATCCTTAAGCTGGTTACACACGGAGCGGTTTAGCCGCGCGCGGTCGCGGATTCTTTTTGAGACTGCGTCCGCGACCGCATCCGCGCCTTATTTACACACGAGGCGGAATGACCGCGCGCGGCCGTGGATTTCGACCGCTAGGGCCAGTTGTACCGTCTCTGATTAAAGTTAACCGGAGTTTAATCGGCCGAATTTGCACAATTAAATATCTGTTATCAGCTGATTAAGCGTAATCGAAGTTTAACTGTAGACGGTACAACTGGCCCTTAGTGTACTTTAAAAATATTTTAATTTTAATTATCAATATTATCATGTTATAATGTTAAAACTACTATGTAAACTGCAAAATATCCGTAGATTTAGATAGCCTAGGCTAGGAATGTCTTATGTTTAAAATAAAAATAAAAAAAAGCTGGTAAGTCGTGGATGTCGCTCTGCTGTACAGTAGGTTACTGTAATGGATGGGATTAAATTTGAATGYAATRATAGRTATCATTGTATWCGAAAAACGATTCTGAACGGAGATTATTTGTCAGTCTAGGATATATTATATTTAAATATTGTCATATATTCTATTTTGAAACAAATATTTTATTTTT